AAAACCTAAATAACAGACCTAAATAACAGAAAAAAACCTAAAAACAGAATAAACTGTCGCCTGAAATGCTGACCATTAATTGGACATGGCCGACGCTTGGCTGACAAGAACGTGAAACGCACACGAGGCTCTTGGAGGGCCGTGGTAACGCACACGAGGCTCTTGAAGGGCCGTGGTAACGCACACGAGGCTCTTGAAGGGCCGTGGTAACGCACACGAGGCTCTTGGAGGGCCGTGGTAACGCACACGAGGCTCTTGAAGGGTCGTGGTAACGCACACGAGGCTCTTGGAGGACCGTGGTAACGCACACGAGGCTCTTGAAGGGCCGTGTTAACGCACACGAGGCTCTTGAAGGGCCGTGGTAACGCACACGAGGCTCTTGAAGGGCCGTGTTAGCGCACACGAGGCTCTCGAAGGGCCGTTTTAACTCTCAAGAGGTGCTCCAAGTGGCCGTGGTAACGCTCAAGAGGTGCTCCAAGTGGCCGTGGTAACGCTCAAGAGGTGCTCCAAGTGGTCGTTTTAACGCTCAAGAGGTGCTCCAAGTGGCCGTTGCAGCGCTCAAGAGGTGCTCCAAGTGGTAACGCTCAAGAGTTTCTTGATCTGCGAGCAACGCTGAAGTCACCGCCTCTAGGGCGCTTATGCCTCCGTAAGAAGATGGATGGCTTGCCGCTGTCTGTTCCTTATCCATAATGGCGGCGCATTATAGGCGGCTTACAGGCGGCCAGCGATGAGCCTCGTCTCAAGCCACAAGCGGGGGGCGTCCTGAGAGTCATGCCGCCCTGCGTATCAGGAGAGGTCATCGCAGCGCTGCCTGTGACACGTAGCACCTCAATGTGATCAATGTGGTCAATGTGATCAACGGGGATAATGTGATCAATATGGTCGATGTGATCAATGTGGTCAACGGGGATAATGTGATCAATATGGTCAATGTGATCAATGTGGTCAATGTGGTCAATGTAATCAATGTGGTCAATTTGATCAATATGGTCAGTGTGATCAATATGGCCAATGTGATCAATATGGTCAATGTGATCAATGTGGTCGATGTTATCAACGCGATCAATGGGATTAATGTTGTCGATGTGATCAATGTGGTCGATGTTATCAACGTGATCACTGAGATTAATGTTGTCGATGCAATCAATGTGGTCGATGTTATCAACGCGATCAATGGGATCAATGTGGTCTATATCTATATGGTGAACGTGACCAATGTGATCCATGTTGTCAATCCGATGGGAGTAATGAAAGAAGTCAAATGCATGATGTGTTGAATTTAGAGCATGTGAATAATGTGATGATTGTGGTGGAAGTAACCACTGTGGTCGATGTGATCAACGTTATGTTTGTGGTGATCATCAGCAATGGGATTAATATAGTGAAGATGATTAATTCGGGGGATTTGCTGCATGTAATCAATTAACGAGGTGAAGATAATTGTTGAGGTGAATGTGATTCTTGTGAACATTAACTTGAAACTTATGTACTCGTTGGATGTGGTGAATCATGTCAATGCATGTTGCAGGTATAGTAAATGTAGTTGATTAAGTAAAGAATATGAGTGTGTTTAATCAGGTCAACTTGGTGCATATACAAATAACAAATATAGGACAATGAAGGATTGGAATTATGTTGGTGTGTGGTTGGGCTGAACACTGTGATGAATGCAATGAATATGGCGAATATGATATAATCTAGTATAACTGATTTATTGCATGGTTGAGGAGCATGTACATATCAGGTGAATGAGGTGAATATAATGAATATGATAGATTTCGTTTATAAAATTAATGTGATGGATATATCGAATTGGATGCAAATGTTTAACATGGGAAATTTAGAGAGTGCGATGCATGGAGTGAATATGCTGAATATTATGGTAGAGATGAATAAGGAGATGTGATACATTTGGTGAACAACTTGAAAAAGATGAATGATGAATTTAATGAGGAATTAGAATTCCCTCTGCTTAAATTGACTAACCCTCATCAATGGCGAGTTTAAAAGGATTTTGCCTAGGCCACTTCTGCGTTATGATATATGCTTCAAGTGGTGTTTCAAGCCGCTTAAGTCACCTCTGCAAGTTCTAAGATAAACCTACTTTAAACTCCTGCTTCAAACCTACGTTACATTAGAGCTTGTTTCCTTAGAAACAAAACGATTATCTTTCTTAAAATTCAAATGAAGTGCAGAGAGGGTATAACACTTCGTACTTCGTTTCGAGCAGCCGCAAAAAAATTACCGCTCCAAGTATGGTAATGTTATTCTTGTACCGTGGGTTTAACGAAAAATAGAATAGAATATGTAAAAAGATTTTCGACACTGGCCCTGACAAGAAAAGACGTGTTGTTCTGAGAGGCATTAAGATCAATATCACTTCTAAAATGGGTCGCGAATCATGATGCATGTTTTTCAGACGTTATCTAAAGTACAGAAGGACCTGCCTTATAGGCATTAGGCCTTCGGGTCTTGTTGAGGATATCTTCTGAGCGCTTGTCCTGAGGCTGAGATGAATATTGATCTTAGAACCCTTCTGAAGCTCAAAGTTCGCTGCTCAAAAATACAAGCGTTATCACAAGTGCATCAGAAAACTATACCCTAAAGGTTTGAAAACAAGCATGACAATTGAAGACTTTGATCCCGATTTGATGATCAACGTAGAGCTCTTTGGCCATCACCACGTTCAAGTGAAAGTTGCGTATCTCATCTCATAAGGCATATATATCGCGGTCCCTTGTCACGTTCTCGCACCAAGTTTCAGGTTCGTCACGCACTATATCTTTCTTTTTAATACCGTTCCATTTGATTTGTCTGGCGTAATTGTATATGGTTTATGAATATGGAAATATTTTATATAATTTTGTTACGTTGAAGTCGAACAAAAGATTTAGTTGAATAACATATGACATATTAGGTACGTATAGACAGTTACAACATCACATGCAACCATAAGTGAGAAGGCGGCGCATCAGCGTGATCGTGGACTACGAAGTCCTAAACTTATCACAAGGTCATAACGATAACCATCAAACATTTTTATTTACAACACAGGCCGTAAATAAATAAAAGTTACGTGTTTCAAAAATCTTTATCGTTAAGAGTTACTCCCACGCGAGCACTTACATGTGTGAAGCTCTCATAACGAAGTGTCGGTAGCCATATCAAGTTCATTAATTGAATGGATTGATGGACAAATTAGTATTAGTCAAATATGCATGCAGGCATTACACAAATTATTAAGCAATTATTAACACCGCTTTTTCATACCGGCAAAATTTACTTAATGCAAATTTCCTACTTATTTTCTAAATGATATTTCTTTAAAAAATTCTAAATAACCTCTAAAGTTAATCTAGAATGTAATAATCTTTAAAGTTAATCTAGTAAATCACGTATCTAAAGTTTAAAGATTAATGTCAATGCAGCGCAGTACCTCGCAGCTCCAAATTTATTAAAAACGTATTACCCCATGATCGGTATAATTATTTGCATCGCACTATGCTTAGAGCCCTAATCTTTTTTCCCGCATTATTCTGTGGACAGTTTTATTCTTTATACCGTATTGCTCTTTTAACCACTCTGTTCTTAGCGGAATATTATTCTTAGTGCCTCTGTGTTACTGATGCAGCAAATTTCTGTGTTACTGATGCAGCAAATTTCTATGCAGTAAATTTCTGTGTTACTGATGCAACAAATTTCTGTGTTACTGATGCAGCAAATTTCTGTGTTACTAATGCAGTAAATTTCTGTGTTACTAATTCAGTAAATTTCTGTGTTACTGATGCAGCAAATTTTTGTGTTACTGATGCAGCAAATTTCTGTGCTACTGATGAAACAAATTCAAACATTTCAAGCAGTTATCTGTGGGAAGGATCAATCCCATATCACTCCTCCATAACTGCATCGGATCAGACTAATTAATTAAAGTTGCGAACGTATCGTTTACTTATAGCTACATTAAGATACGTTTTAGGCAGGTTAGAGACTGAAACGACAATCACAACAGACAAGTGAATTTATTTCTTATTTATTTTATATAATTTAGTCCGTCCGGATCCACCCATGAATTGAGAGGATTGTTGCGTGTGAGGGTAAGAGGGTAAGGACCTATAATTTGGGCTGTGTCTTGTAGGGGTGTCTTCTTCCAGCGAGTGTGGTGGGTAAGGGTGAAAACATTTCATGAGGTATATCTTTGAGATGAATATGTACCTGGTGGTGGTACGCTTTAAGAGGTACACTTAAAAATGAATGTGACCTAGTATGGCTTGGGTCTTAAGTGGAGTGTATCAATTCAGAGAAGAATAAGTACCTGTTGGGAGTATTTTTCATTAGGTGTACTTTATAAAGAATGTGGTATATAAGCACTCTTTATGGGGTGTACATATAGAGAAGAATGTGCACTTATTAAGACAAGGCATTTACATGGAGTAGCCCTACTGGAATGTGTACGCAGATGAAGGAGATGAAGTTGCAGCTGGTGAGTGAAACCGAAGAGCCAAGAGGCAAGACGAGGAAGAAGTGCTGAGGAGTCGGAAGTATAGGAGAGTGAGATAGTAAGTATAGTAAAGGAGAGTGAGAAAAATTGAAATTTTAGTGGAAGGTTTAAGACTATATATGAGGAGGTAAATGAGCATTATGAGCAGGATGAGCATTACGGATGCGAGGGGATAGAGGACATCAAGAGTAAAAGGAGCATTAGACACGATAGGTGGAAGAGTTGTATCAGCATCAGAGACGAGAGGACCAGGATGAGGTGGAGGAGTTGTATCAGCATCAGAGACGAGAGGACCAGGATGAGGTGGAGGAGTTGTATCAGCATCAGAGACTAGAGGACCAGGATGAGGTGGAGGAGTTGTATCAGCATCAGGGACGAGAGGACCAGGATGAGGTGGAGGAGGAGAGTGCAGGGAAGCACAGCGCTGCGCACGCCGGTCCAGCAAGTGGATTGGTCGGCGGCGGCGTGTGGCGCGAGTCCATGTGTGGAAAGCCTAAGCGTGCCGAGCTTGCCCATACCCATCACGACCGTGAGCGCGTCGACCCGTTCTCGGCCTCTGCCTTGTTCGTTTGCTTCGTCGTCCACAACCGCCGCTTCTCTTGTTCAATCCATCTACTCTTGTTCCATCCATTCGCGTCTGTTCTTCCGCCCTTCAATCCGAGATCTTTAGTGCTAAAGTTTCATCTGAGATCGTCACCTGATATCTGCTTTGGTGGTTAGCTCAGCTGTTCACAACCATCACTTCAGCGGTGACATTCGAGATCTCAGCATCTGCACTCTCCTAGTCATCCAATATCCCAGAGGCCAACTTAACTTTTGCAATAAACTTGAGTTAATCGAAACATCAACGTCACAAATCACTCACAATTCCTGCCACAAAGTTATCTTCTACACTCGCTCCTCAGCAGCTGAAAAGTCTCCCCTCTGCTGTGCTAGTGCATTTTCTGAGTCAGCTTGACTCATCTAACGAGTTGTGAACAACTTACGTCCTTGTAATTACTTCGCAGTCTTCAGTGGCTCAAGAAAGAAGCGTGAAGTTGAAGCTTTTGTCTGCGGTAATCAGAGAAAAGCAGCGATGGGCAACATACAGGTCAGTACTTATATGTGTTTTTCATTAATTATATTATTGCAGCTTTTGCGAGAAATTTCCGTCGACGATAAAACATCCGGGGATGATTCCCTGAACTATTGCCGTTCAAATGGAATTCTTGCGAAAGTGGTGTTCTATTTAACAATGAAATTTACGTTTTTCCATGTTTTTATGGCACTGCAACATGTGCTGATATTACCCTGAACTGCAGCGCCGGTAATGTTATGGCGTCGTATCCTCTTACTGATATTACCCTGAACTGCAGCGCCGGTATTGTTATGGCGTCGTATCCTCTTACTGATATTACCCTGAACTGCAGCGCCGGTATTGTTATGGCGTCGTATCCTCTTACTGATATTACCCTGAACTGCAGCGCCGGTATCATTGGTAGCAGCTCCATCATGGGTGGCCACAGCATGACCGATAGTTTTCCGACGCTGGATAAGTGCTGTACGTATATGGACAAAAATATTAATTACTTCGATGTTTTTATTAAACGAGAAATCAAATAAAGTTCGTATTGTGATAAAACACAAATTGCCTTTAATTAAATCAACCTGAGTTAACTCAATTCATTAGCCCGACCCAGCGTAACCTATCTAAACAAAACTTTATTTGTCCTAACTCAACTCAACGCGTCATAACGATGAATTCTTTTATCCCAACTTATATAATCATGATTTGCCCTGCAGCTGAAGAGTTTTGCGACATTAAATTGGGAATGCTTTTGGACGTGCAACATAGATCAGTTAAATTTACGAGCATTAGCTTAAATGTTCCTTCTTCGAATCTTATATTATTTTAATGCATATTGCAGTGCTTGTTTCACAGATATGAGTGATAAATACGCTCGTTGTTGTGATGAGTTTGTGTGCTGTGAACATCACTGATAAATAAGCTCGTTGTGATGAGTTTGGGTGCAGTAAACGTCACTGATAAATCAGAACTTCATTTATGTAAAGAAGCATTGCTTCATCAGATGAGACTCATCATTGATCGTCCATTGCGTGAAATCTTAATATAATGGATCCCTGGTCTTCTGTATGACGTCTCAGTTAACTGATAAGTTATGTAAAGTTATCATCAGAGCGTATAAAGAGAGAACTTGTAACTTATCATTAGTCATCAGTAAAACGGCAGAGTAAATTGATAATTGATCATTAGTCATCAGTATAGCTTATATATTAGGGAACTGATGATATAACATTAATCATCGATAATGTTTGTGGGGGGACTGACAATTAAATTATCATAAGATACAGGTAGCGACTAAATTATTCGTTATACCCCATTCTCTTCAATGTTTTCTTGAATAGCTCCAAAAATAATGAATTTTTGAGCCTAAGATTTGATTGACCTATGTAGTATGCAATAGGAAAAATAACACTACATTTTCAGAACAAAATTTAATTTCAAAACGTTTTAACGTGCATAAATTCCCAACACCTTCAGACACAATTGTTCGTAAAGTTGGAAAATGCTAACATTGTTGCAATAATAATAATCTATGGCATGTCCTTCCATATTGATTTCCTCCAGCAGTCTTTTTCTATAGTTTTTGATGAGATTCGCAGTGCTATCCGTTCGGAAATTATCCCGTTGGACAATATAATCGGTGACGTCATTCAAGAGGTGTCGGGTCCTGACATTTGACTGCAAACTCCAAGATGGACAAGATGAAGGAGCTCAGTGTGGATTTGAGCAGCAAAATGATTGACCTCCACAAATCTGGCAATGGTTATGGGTGCATCTCGAAACCCCTGAATATTCTAAGATCCACCGTACTGTCGGTGATAAAGAATTAGTTAATTTATAGAGTTTGGTACTGCTCACACGTTTGGCACTGGATGAGGATGGAAGCCAAAACTTTCGGAACTATCAGTTAAAAAACTGTGTCGTGAGGTAAATATGAATGAAAGAGAGGTGTTGAAGAACATTGTCTATAAATTAGCCAGAGAGGGAACAAGCGTGAGTCAGCGTACCAAACAGCGTTGTCTCAACAAAAATGGTCTGCATAGACGCAGACCTCGACGAGTCTCACTAGCTCCACACACGTGGTCATGTTGCTGATCGTTAGACTTTCGTAAGCTCTTACGTGGTCAAAGAGGACTTTAAAACCAAGTATTATGCAGTGACGAAACAAAAACTTAGCTATTTTGTCTCTCATAGTTGAGGTCCTATGATGTCAATTACAGGCCTCTCTCATCTCTTTAAGTGGGAGAACTTGCACAATTGGTGACTGACTAAATATTTATTTTCCCCACTGTAACTAATAAGTAGTTACCAGTAATCAATAAGAGTGAGATCCTCACCCAAGGGGACACTTTAATTTAACTTTCAATGGCCATCATTAGGCCCAATAAATTTTTAGCTCATAAAGTGACTTCGCCTGTAATGAAGTGTCGCTGCAAATTTCCCACTACTGTATGTCAGACTACGAAGTTTAAGTAGGACCGACTCTGACGTCGGTGTTAAATTGATTATAGCCGTCAGATACTATGCCGATCCCGACTTGCGTCCTGGTTCCTCTCTTATACGATTTTGACTCAGACGCCAGGGTAAGTTGCTGCTTTGGTGGTGAAATCTAGCTTGGAATACTTGATGGAATATCGTGATTTTTGTGTATATAACGACTTGTCATGCGTAGATATTTACTTTGTTTTCTGTTGTAGGATCGTGCGTTTTCTCAGATCTCAATGCTCCAGCTCTCTCCTCGCATTTTGCTCTCATCGCACTTTAACTTCCTCCGCATTTAATTTGTTAGTTCGTTTCATATGCCGCACCTCTGTAAGTCATTAGTGTTATTTGTTTATATTTATTTGCCGTTTATCTTTAATAAACTTAAAACGTTTGTTCGAGTAACTATCCGCTCAGTCCAAGCTCTTGCTGATAAAACCAATAGGGAAGTTGCATTTAATTTCCGGTCATTGGTGGACGTGACAATTAGACCATCCGAACTTTGAGTGACGCGATTAATTAGCTATTATACAAGATTAGTTCGTCACATTGCCGTTGAGCGATTTGCTTTCTCGTTACTGTGATGATTGGTTATAATTATCAAACCGTCTTTCCTCTATTTAAGTCTAATTTTTTCCTCCAAACTATCTAGTATCAAAAAATAATGTAAAACTGTCGTAGAACTTTCGACCACGAAAAATGTTTCTTTGAACATCCGTTGTTTTAAGCGCTTGAATCTCCCTTCTTGAGGGATTGCTGAACGATTAAAATTGTGAGCCTGTCCAGCAGCTTGCGTCTTGAGGGAACAAATGCTGAAATAATCACGGCTCATATTAAATACTGCGCATTTTCTTTGTATTCTCGCTTTGCAATGATTGGGCAAGCTAAGGCATTTGTTGGCTCGACGTACAATAGACTTCTTAACGAATGCTGGCATTGCCGCTAGCTTGATTGTCTCCAATGTATTCTCCAGGGAGTTATAATTGGGTACCTGATAAGACTACGTACTCACGTAGGTCTTTACAGTCAATTGTGCTGGCAAGAGTTTTGTAAGGAGTTCCGTGCAGCGCAACTACGACGTAGACGCGACCATCTGTGCTATACGGTGACCAAGTGGATGTCTGCACACAGCGTTATAGGTGGAGTACATGTGTTGTTCTTGTGTGATTATTTCTTGTGTGATTGTGTCTTGTGTGATTGTGTCGTCTTGTGTGATTGTGTCATCTTGTGTATTTGTGTATGCCAGTATTCCCAAATATTTCTGCGCTGAGCCAAACTTAATCAATAATAATAAGTTCCGCAATTACTACAAGCTCTACGATGATCGTCATGAATGTCACGACTATGGATTTTGTTTTTGTGGTATAACTGCAAAGTTATAGCAATATTGAGGTTTTCGGAGGACTTATAGGCAGCCTAAAGCTGGCCGCTCTTCAGCCGCCTGTAATGCCCCTGCTACAAGTGTAGGTTAGGCTCGTGTCACCAGACACCAGAAAAAACTGGTCAAAATGTCTGCTCGGCGGCGATTGATCTGCTCAGATTACGCAGCCTCTGCCCATGGGAATATCTTGGCATATTTATGGCCGATTCACCGTCGGCCAGCCGAGGGCCGAAGAAGATTCGTACTATGGGTGGTCTACGGATTAAACAATTGCTTATTTTGGGGCGTTTGTGGCGAAGCAAGCGTGGCTGAATAATTGCCCGGCCACACACGCGTGTCTGGAGACGAGCCTGTGGCTGAGAGTGGCTTGATCCTGCACCACAGACTCGGCGTGTTGCACTGCAGACTCGGCGTGTTGCACCGCAGACTCGGCGTGTTGCACCGCAGACTCGGCGTGTTGCACTGCAGACTCGGCGTGTTGCACTGCAG